AAAATCTGGTATCTTTGATCAAGTATAAAGTGATTTGGTTAGTTAAGGTCATATGTCAACTTCGATGCATGTAAGTGTGTCTGTCTTTGTATTTGTATGTGCATGTTTGTGTTCGCTTATGCACGAAACCCGAAGTGAGGCTCAAAGTAATTAGGAACCGACCTTTGGATCTCTTTACCCAACACTTTCACTCGAAATGGAAGTAAGCTCAACAATCGTCTTTCGGTTGCCGGTGAGTCTATTTAACGAATTCCTTCTGATCAAGTTTTCCTTCGAAACAGAAAGTCGTGTCACAGTATATCATTAAGAATTCTTCGAAACCAAGATGTTTTTCATATCTAACATGTGTTGAAACTAGCAAGGGATCCGGTGAGTAGACCAGGTCTGTATTGGGAGGGACCAAAGCTTGGATGGCAGGAAAGCCTCATCAAACCGGCTCAAAAATCAATTTTTCCCAGGCAGTCTTCTCTTCTGTTCGTCTTCACTCCAGCCTGGCTGTCTGTGCATGTCCCGACTGCACTTGAGAGCCCTTTTGATGGTTGAGCCCCGTCAGCATCGCATTAGGTTGGGCTAATCGACTAGTCATGGCGGATGGTATTACCACGAGTCTCGCTTGGCCTGTCCACCAGCAAGTGCGCTTGTGGCTTTCTTTGCAGCCCTTAAGTGAATCTGTACGGAGGATTTGATGCATTCATTCCTCGTCCGGCAGATTGCCTGAGGCGATGGCCAGACTTATTCACATTTTGCTACAATGAGCTACTACGGCTCACTTCACACCCCATCCTCCACCATCGTGCCCCCCTCTGCGTCATACAGTTCTGCCTCCGCCTTCAGTTCAGTGTGCTCATGCTCGCTTCGCTACCTCTTCCATACTCCTCTACTCACTTCATCTCTCTTTCGCTCTATTTATCTCGACCCACCTTCATGCCGGTATTCCCAATTTTCCGCTTGGTCGCCCAGCCATTTACATATTGGTATCCTCTTATCGCCAAAAACCCCTTCCACGGGTTCGACCCTTCCGGTATTGGTGAAGGCGGATTTCATTCTTAAGCCGTGGTCCCTCGTCCCTGTCTCTCTCTCTCTTCCGTAGACACTGCTCGTCTCTCCATCTGCTACTGGCACAAGTGGAGAGGCTCCTACACCCTGGGCCGGGATAAAATTGACCAATTGCCAAAGTGGCTCCGTCTGATAGGGCTCTCGTTCAGTACCCCTTGGCTATATCCATTGGTTCTCAAGAGACGCCAATTTCGGTTCAGTTTCCAGCTGGCTTGGATGGATTATGGGCAAACAGGCGATCTGCTCCAGCTTAGATACCGATTTGCCCATATTGTAGGCCGTCACTGCTGAAAGCTACACCCAAGAGATGTGGATGCCATGGCCAGCAGGATGTGGCCTTAACTCTGTTCGCAGTCCCCCTTAGCCCTATAAACTTGGTTTGACCTCGATCCTGCAACTTGGCCGTATTCACTTGGAGACCCTGAAGAACAAGGTCAAGTCAACTGTATACGAAATTGGCGTCTCTTGAGAACCAATGGATATAGTCAAGGGGTACTGAACGAGAGCCCTATCAGACGGAGCCACTTTGGATCTGTAGTACTGCTAATATGTCATCATATGGCTAAAAGCACAACTCAGAAGAAGGAACACAATTGTGGAATATTGTATTTTTACTTTGAAAATGGTTTTCAGCCCAATTAATGCAAGCAAGAACCAGATTACTGGCTTCCAAAATTGTTTGTCAGTTTAATAGTAGTGATATTAGAGTAGGGTTTCGAGACTACCAGTAAATTAGTGTAATGAGATGTATTCACCCTATTTCGTGTAAG